GTGAATTCATTCTCCAGAGACCCCGTCCCTCGTGCACAAGGACCTTGTCGCTGCTCGCTCGGGGGCTGGGGTCATGGCAGCACAAGGCACCATCGGCCCAGGGCGGGGGAAGCAGCAGGCATCAGGCAGGGGCTTCCTGGCATGGCCTGTCTCCCCCCGTGCCCCCTGCAGGGCTGGCTCACATGCAGGCTGGTGCCTTCACCTGGTTTCACCTGAACAAACGTGTTGAGAACCCCATCGCCCTGTGGGGGGGCACAGAGTCCAGGGTCCCTCTCCCCCGCCCTGCAGAGCGGGGCAGGGCCTGTCTGGTGGGGAGCAGGTGCCTGCACTCGAAGGGCTCTGCCTCCTGAGCAGCAGGGTTTGTGCAGCGAGCGGTCAGTCCCCCCAGGGACCCCATTCGAGCGGTGACCCGGGCATGGAGCCCGTAGGCCGAGACTAGAGACTGGGCAGCAATAGAGCGGGGTCCCTTATAGCCACGCAGAGCTCGCAGGCCCGGTGCCCCCTCGATGGCCACCAGGGGGCGCAGTGGGTGAGCAGGTGGGGACGGGATCTCATGCTAAGGGGGATGCCAGCGCTCAGCTGGCACCCCGGGAAGCACTGCATCCTCTCTGCTGCTGCACTGGGGCTGGTGCCCATGTGGCGGGGTGTGCTGGGGCTCGGGGGGATGGGCAGGGAGCACGCGGCTCCCCTGAGCTGAACATCGAAAGCAGGTGATGTTGGAAACCAGAGGGTGATGGGGATATGAGTTATCCGCTCAGCTCCCTGGCATCGGGCTGGCTGGTTACAGGCTGCACCCAAGTCAGGCCCTGCCCTCTGCCCCCCACCATGGTATCCGAGACATCTGGCCCCACCGCAGCCTGCATTCCAGACATGGCCCTGCGGGCACAGCCCTGCCCCAGCAGCATGGACGAAATGGCAAACGCTGGCGAAGCAGCATGGCACCATCACTGTCCATCACATCGGGGACCAGCTCACCTGCTGCCAGGGGAGAGCCCGGCGGTGTCCGTGCCGCAGGTGGGTGCTCCTCTGGCTGGCAATCAGCCATTTGCCGCCCTGCCAGTGCACAGAGCCAGAGACCCGAGCAGATGTACAAAGTCAGGACACTCGCTAGCTGGATGGAAGCGACTGCCCCCGTCCCCACCCACCCAGTGCTGGGCCCCGGCCTGGCCCTGCACCCCCAGCAGCAGCTGGGCGGGGGCCACCGGATATCGACACATGCGGGGACCCCTGTGCTCCTGGGTGGGGGGGGTTCGTAACGTGAAAACAGGCTGAGAAGGTAAAACCCAGCTGGCGCCAGGTTGCGCATGCCAAGGTGATGTGACCCCGGGGGTGGCTGAACAAACACGTGCTCGGCCATGTGCGGACGTTCCCAGCGCGTCACGCTGCCCCCCGGACGCGCTCCGCAGCAGAGCACCCAGCCTGGGCTCCTCTCGGCCAGCCAGCGGGATTGCCAAGGGGGCTCACACATGGCTCATGAGACGAGTGGCCGGCGATGATAGAAATGGGAGGAAGAGGGGGCTCAGGGCCCCAAACTCATTGCACTGGTCACTGAACCTGCATTCATACCTATGTCCCCAGCGATAAAGGCTAGTGCCCCCCCCACGACCCTCCCCTCTGGGTCTCGGCCTGTCCTGCCCCCCATGACCCTCTCCACTGGGTCTCAGCCCCTCCTGTCCCCCACGACCCTCTCCACTGGGTCTTGGCCCCCCCGTCCCCCACGACCCTCTCCACTGGGTCTCAGCCCCCGTGTCCCCCATGACCTTCCCCACTGGGTCTTGGCCCCACCTGCCCCAGCTTCTCCCGGGACGCCGCTGGGGCCTGGCGCTAGCTGTGTCTGGGACCTGGGTGAAGGACGGTGCACGGCTGCATTGTGCTGGGGAACGGCCAAGGTGTTTCTGGCCGGCTGATGGCTGAGACCTTTGTCCGTGCTGTTGGCTCCCAGGGTCCCTGCACATTCCACAGGGGCTTTGGCGGGGGCCAGGAGAGGTGGTGATGCCGCGGTGCCAGGAGGAGCCCGGGCTGGGAGCCAATTGGCCGAGCCGCCCTCAGACCAGCCAGGGCTCAGGTGTAGCTGACTGCACTCCCGTGGGCTGGCCCAGCAGGCCGGGGGAGGTCAGTGGCCATGCCCTGGGGGTCAGGCTGGCTGGTTGCCAGAGTGCCCCACAGAGGCCAGTGTGGACACTGCAGTGTCTGTCATGAGTCCATGAGGCTGGGGTATGGGCTCTTGTCCTCCCAGCCCCCCACCTGTTTGCAGCCCCATGGCCTAGGGCAGCGTCGGGAAGGGCTGAGGTCAGAGAAGCTCCCTCATACCTGCTGGTCCCGGAGCCATGGAGCAGCAGGCTGGGGGTGGGCAGGGCTGGAGTCCCATGGGGACGCCTCTTCACTCCCGGGTAGGAAAAGCGTCATTCCCCCCCTTCCAACCAGCCTCCCCTTCCTCTTCGGCCCATGCCCTACCCCACAATGCACCAGCTTAGCCCACCCCACAGAACCTGGCCGGAGCGCAGGGAACTCAGAACATTGTCTTTTAATAGCTCCCCTCTGAACCCGCGTCCCTTGGCACCCACCGAGCACGTGGCGCTAGGAAGGGGGGCCAAGTGCCAGGGCCTCGGCAGGGCCCCTGGCAAAGCAGGGATCCCCAGGAGCTGCTCTGGGGCCTGCGTCTGACTCACAATCCTCATCAGGGTGCTCGACGATGGGCTCATGGGGTGGGACCTGGCAAGGGAAGAGTTAAAGGAATGTAACCACTAATGGAGCAGGCGCAGAGCACGAAATAATGCCAGGGAGCACACAGCTCGGGCACTGCCCCCACGCACTGCAGGACCCTCCCATGCCAGGGAGCACATGGCACATCCCCCACGCACTGCAGGACCTCCCCAAGCCAAGGAGCACACAGCATAGCCCCCACGCACTGCAGGACCCCTCTCCCCCAGCCATGGGCGAACCCCCAGGGAACTCCAGAAGAGTCCAGCACAAGTACACCCCACTGTGCACTGCAAGGCCCCCCCAGTGCTAAGAAGCATGACCTGCAGCATCTGCCCCCACCCTACTGGACCTGCAGCCTGGGCACACCTTGTCCTCCCTGGAGGAGAGCTACAGGCAAGGACTGAGCAAGGGCCTGGTGGCAGATTTCTCCTTCCACTTCCTCCCTGTGACAGAAGAGGCCTGGTCTCCCTGCCTGCGCCTTGGATGGCATCACCCCTGTGCAGAGCAAGGGCCAAGCAGGTGTGAACGCCACCCCATGGGAGTGGCAGAGAGTTCTGATTGGGTGGCCCTTCCCCTCCCCTGGCCCGCACAGGTGTGAGTGTGTGGCACATGTTCCGCCCTGGGGTGTGGCCCGTCACTCCCGATAGGGTGGTGGGACTGCAGGGTTTCCCCTGATTTACAGAGCGGGGGGGGGGGTGTCTCGCCAGCCCATGCCCCCAGCTGGGCCAGACGCCTGCTGCCTGGTGTCCGGCCCAGCCTGTGGTGAAGCGGAGTCAGAGCCGGCCCAGCCCCGCGTGCCAGGTTCCCCACAGGCGAGTATCAGGAGCTGAGGGAGAAGAGCCCCTGGGTGACTTACCAGTGAGGATCTCCTCCTCGGCCGGGAGGGACAGTCCCTGATCAGCCGCAGCTGCTGCTCCCGGCTGTGCAGCTGGAAGCTGCTGGAACATCTCAGCTTCTGGCTAACTGTGCTCCCCATAAGCCCCACAGGCTCCAGTACCTTGTGCATGGATTGTGCCTGGAGAGCCAGGGCCAGGGCAAGTGGCTCCCAGCTGCCCAGCTCCTCGTCCAGCCAGCAACTCCAGAGAGCACCCGTCCCCGGAGCCGGGCTGAGACGCCAGCGCAGGGCCGAGTGCTTCAGAAGGGACTGGCCCTGGCCCAGGTGCGCTGGAATGAGCAGGAACCGGGGTTCCATCCCACCAGGTCATAGAGCCGCCCAGAATGGCCAGGGAGCACCGTGGAAATGTCCGAGTCACCGGCGTGCTTGGGGCAGGGGGCCGGCCAGGCTCTCGCAGTGCCCCCCCGCAGCCCCTTGGCTCAGGGATTCCCCCCCCCCCCGCAACAGGCACATGCCCAGTCCCTCCTCTAGCTCAGGGATGGGGCCCCTCTCCCAGACCCTGCCTCTGGCGCCAGAGCCGTGTGCTGTTCCCCCTACCAGGGGTGGTGCTGCTGGGTCTCCAGGGGGCTGCCCTGCATCTGGAAGGTGCAGGGTGCACGTCGCTCCAGGGCCAGCACGGTGCCCCCACATTGTGGGGGGGGAATGGCCCCAGTGCCGGTAACCAGTGCCCAGCTGCCATCTCCTCCCCACAGCCAGGGCAGCCAGGAGGTGCCTGCTGCCAACTTACCTGCCAAGCCAGGGGAAGGGGCTGGAGCAGGGGGAGGATGCTCAGTCCGTAAGGACCTGCAGTACCAGGCAGAGCGGGGTATATATGGCGACAGACAGACAGACGAGTGGAAGGCTGGCTGGAGGGAGTGGGAAGGGACAGACAGACAGACGAGTGGAAGGCTGGCTGGAGGGGCTGGGAAGGGAGAGACAGACAGACGAGTGGAAGGCTGGCTGGAGGGGGTGGGAAGGGACAGACAGACAGACGAGTGGAAGGCTGGCTGGAGGGGGTGGGAAGGGAGAGACAGACAGACGAGTGGAAGGCTGGCTGCGGGGGGTGGGAAGGGAGAGACAGACAGACGCCCCTGCATCTTTCCACGGGTCTCCTGGGCACTTTACATTCTGAGGCCCAGCTCTGGCGGCCTCTGCCTTGGCCCAGTGACACAATGCGCCACTTTGAGCCGGGCTGTGACTGTGAATTGTCAATGGGCTCCTTGAAAGGGGTTGTGTGAAACCAGTGAAGAAGGGTAAGGAGCCCTGGCAACCGCTCCCAGGAGCTGTCAGCCTCCAGGGGCCAGGCAGCCAAGTCTGGCACTCAGCGAACCAGAGTAACCCTGGAAGCTGAGCTGTTAAAGGGACTGGGCCCACCTCGGAGCCAGGCTCCCAGGGAGCCCTGCACAGGCCAGTTCCCATCAAAATGCAGCCGGAGCGGGCCCGAGGGCTGCCGGTTGTTGGCCATGGAGGCGACCCAGCTGCCCCCCATCCTGCTGGTGCCCAGGCTTCCCAGCCGGAGGACAGATCTGAGACGGAGGCAGTGTCAGGTCTGGAATCCCTGCCTCCCTCCAGGCCGGCGTGAAGGAGCTGCCCAGAGGTTACAGACGCTGCCTGCCAGGCAGGGTTCATGAATGGGGTACACGGGGGGGCAGTGTCCGGCTGCAATTCTTGGGCAGAGATTTTAGAGACGCACCCCCAGCTCATCTGCCCATTCCCCAGTACCGTCCAGAGGCCAGGGGGCTGTCAGCTGGCCAGTGGCAGGGCACTGGGAACTTGCTGAAAGCCCGAGGCCTGATGCTCATGGGCCAAAGCCAGAACCCGACCCCCCCCCCCCCCCCGAGTACGCTAGGCCCCCCTGTGCTGCTCATGCAGGAGCCAGGCTGCTCAGCGCAAGGCCAACCGCTGCATGCTGGAGCCTGTGGCCTCTGCCAGCTGCAGCCCTGTAGTGGGAGGTAGCCCTGAGCCGCGCCATCCAACCCTGGGTACCTTGGGCCCCCAGCGGCTGCAGCCCAGAGCGGGGAGGGCGGGTGCAGAGTCTGCCTGTGTGAGAACAGGGCGCGTTGCCTTGGCAGGTGCGGGCGGCAGCCCAGCCAGCGGGAGCCCACAGCACAGGGGCTGCCAGCCCCATGTTAAAGGCCCCAGTCGATCGTGCGGCTTTTCCATAATCCAGCCCAAGTCTCTAGGCTCCTTAATGCAACTTTTATTAATATGCTCAAGAGGCGTTCTTGGCATGAATTCCCGTGGTGACGCCCCCTGCTCCGGCCTGGCCGCTGCCTCACAAAGGCCCTGTCCCGGCACAGGGACAGGAACATGAAAGAGCCGATGGCGTGTTCGGGTGGAGGCAAAACCTGAAAGGAACCTGAGTCCTATGGGCCCTGCAACATCACCCCATTGCAGGCTGCCAGGCAACCGGCTCAGCCGGCCCCTTGGAAGCCCTTCACGAACTCAGGCGAGGGGGGCTTGGGGGTAACTCTCGGTCAGAGGCCTGGGAAGGGAAGAAGGCGGATTAAGCACTAACCCTTTCCTTGCCAGGCTGAGGCCTGCGAATGCAGCTGAACAGAGCCTGGCCTGGGAAGGGCCGAGCCGCCCATTGACAGGGTGCCTGGGTCTCCTGCGTCAGATGAACCCACGCGGAGGGTGTTGGGGCGGGTAGGCTGAGACCAGGAAGGGCCGGTCTGGGTCCCAGGGGCCATGGATCCGTTCCCGACTGTGCAGAGAGCAGGGCCAACTGCCCCCCGGGCTGACAGGAGCGATTCACCCACCCATGTGGGATCCTGGTCCCAGACAGGCCGGTTCTGCCCCAACTCCCACCTCACTGCATTTATTCTCTACAGTCTCACAGCTGGCGGGGGGGGGGGGGCCTCTGTGTTCCCCAGAGCTCCCGTCAAAGGCCAGCAACGAGAGGCACACAGCTCCCGAAGACGCTCTTCAGGCATCAGCCAGGGAGGGTCTGCTCCCTCTCCCCTCACCCAGCAGCCCTTGTAGCCCCTTGCAGGGCCCTGGTAGCCCACGCGGGGCAGGACAAGCTCATTGTTCCAGTGGCACAACCTGGCTCCTGAGCGAACAGACCCGTCAGCACCAGGGCAGAGCCCAGAATGAGGCGCTGTGCCGGGCTGCCACAGAGCAGTGGCTTGGGGATCTGAGCCCCAGGGCTCACAGCCCCTTTCACCCCCTGGCAGGGTTGTCCCAACCCTTCAGACCCATCAGATACATCCAGCATCGTGCAGGTTCCTCGTGAGCATTGCTCTGCTGGTACCAAGAACTCAAGGGGCTTTTCCTGATGCCCTTGGTCAAACCTCTCCTTCCCCACAGAGTGTGCTGGGTGGCAGCTCCCATCGTCACCCCAGAGGTGGCTGCACCGTTGGTTCAATATTCAGCTAGTGGGGAGCGGGGGGGGGGGCTGCAGATACATGTGGAAGAGTCATGGCTGTCCTTACAGTCAGGTGCCAGAGGGAGACCCAGCCTGCTCTGCCTTTCAACACTGGGTCTGGGCGAGAGGAGTGCGTGGGGGGGGGGGGGGGGTTGGGTACGAAGGTAGGGT